TACTTGGGTGGGCTTCGCGCCAGTTCCCCCTTTGCAAAGGTTGCTAGTCTGCAAGGAAATCAGTGACCGAAAGTATGGTGTGTGAACGGAAAAAACGATTTGGCACACACCCCTCGTGCCGTGCTTTGGAAAACAAACTCGAAGGGACGCAGGACCATCGTCTGAAAACGCGCGGTGTGTTTCGGGCAAAGGCAGGCGCCCGCCGTAAAAGGGCGTAAAAAGCATGCTTGACAAGTGATAGGGCAACCCCAAAATGGCGGGCCTAGGTTTCGGCCCGACGGGTGTCTCACGTCACCTTTGAATCCTGCACAGAAGATAGACGTAGACAAGAAAAGCAGCAATATCCCCAGAATGACGAGAGATAGGACAGAGCACGTGAAGGGACATGAAGGGGAAAAGAAGGGAAAGATACGAAGAGGGCTGGAGGGGAACGAAGGGAATCGAAATGAAACGACAAAGAGAAACGAAGGGATTCCGTGTTGCGTCAACCGCCGCCGCGCACGCGCGCTCCGTCTGAAGCCGCGATACGCCACGAAAATCCGAAAACGCAGCATGGCCTTGCAAACTGCGGTCAAACATTTGTCAAGGACAGGAGCCAGCAAGCAACCAAGCAAACACCCAAGCAAACAAGCTGCCCAGCAACAAGCAGCCAAGCACGAAAAAAAAACCAAGCAACCAGCCAAGCAAGCAATCCAACCCAGCAACCAAGCAAACAGAAGGCATCGCAAAAGTCTGAATTCTTATTCGGTTCGTTACGAAATACGGGCGGGTCCGGTTGTTCCAGTTGCAGGGAGGAATCGTTCGCGTCCCACCCTGAGACGCGCCTCTTGCTGCGCTCACGGGTAGAGTTTTGCAAATGGTTTTGGCAAACTCTCTTCTTCACTGCCACACAGCGCTTCTCGGCGGGCATCAGCGTGTGTTCAATGCAGCGCAGAATCACTGGCGCAGGTTTGCCAAGCGTCGGTCAGCGTATGCCCCAAAGTCATGGTTCAGACTTAGTTACAACCCCACCCTTTTTTCTCAGATTGTTTTTTCTCACCCCAAGCTTGGTCGCACTCTCACTTCCTGACTAATTAGTCAAAAACACATGTGAATTAGTCCTCAGCCCTAAAAAAGCTTAACCCAAGCTTGGCTGAGCATTAATTAAACCCGCTCTAACGCTGCAACTCAGGCGGAGCCAGGCCAAGACTGCTTGCTTCGGCGGTGCCTCGGGCGTGCTCATGAGTGCCTGCAGCTGAGCAAGTTCAGTGTCAGGCAGGGTGGATGGAGGGTGGGTGGGTGGTTGGGCACGCGTGTGGATTGGCTGCAGGCGACACAGGCGACGCGCGAAACACACGAGGAGGCGGGCGACGCTGCTAACGCAGCCGTTTTGCAGCGCGCGCAGTGCTTTCGGCCTTCCCCTACTCGAGCTTTCAGGGCTGTGCGGGCGGTGATGATGCGCCAACACCCCCGCCCAGTCGCCAGACGCGCAGCCGATGCGAGGGGGTCGGTGGCAGCAAACTGGCAGCGCTTGGTTGCTTTGTTGTTCGGTTGTTCAGTTATTTAGTTGTTTGGTTGTTTGGTTGTCTGCCCGTTTGCTTGTTGGATTGCTTGGTTGCTTGGCTGCTTGGTTGCTTGGTTGTTGGGTTGCTTGGTCACTTGGCTGCGCGCTTGGTTGCTTTGTCGCTCGCTTGCCTGTTTGCTTGCTCGCTTGTGCGCGTGCCTGCCTGCCTGCCTGCCTGCCTGCCTGCCTGCCTGCCTGCCTGCCTGCCTGCCTGCCTGCCTGCCTGCCTGCCTGCCTGCCTGCCTGCCTGCCTGCCTGCCTGCCTGCCTGCCTGCCTGCCTGCCTTTGCCTGCCTGCCTGCCTGCCTGCCTGCTCGCTTGCTTTCCGCTCCCTTGCTTCTCCCTAGCTTGTTTGCTTTCTTGGTTGCTTGCTTGGCGCCTGGCTGGACCGCTTGATAGCCTGCCTACACGGGGGGAAAGGAAGACATGAAAGATTTTTGTCGAAAACGTATGTTCCTCTAAGCTGAGAGCCGGGAATGTGTGCTGAAGAACCCGGCCCCGCTGCAGCCAGGCCTTTTGACCACCGGTCAACCTTGGTGCGGCACGTCCCTTGTTACACTGGGGCGTCATCTGTGCGACACTCAGGTGTCAAAACAGCTTGCCCCAGCCACAAGCAGGGAGGCCTACGTGTGTACACAGCACCCGCGCAAGGCATCCGAACGCAGCGCAGCAACATGACTGTTCGAAGAATGGAAAGAGAGCGGGACGCCCGGCGGGCCCTGTTTTGCAGAGAATTTGGCTGTTTTTTACACAAAGTCGTGGTTTTGAGAGCTGTCTCCCCCTTGCTTGAGCACACGAGCCAGGCAACGTCCAATGCTACACGAACTGCGCATGTGTATGCAGCATTCTTGGACCGAACAAGAACAAGTTCAGACTCTGGTCCACAGTGTGCGTACGAATATGTGTAAAAATGTATATATATATATATATGTACCAGTCCCTGGGCCACGTACCCCCCCCCCCCCCCCAATGGTATGGTCCCCCCATTCCCCCGCATCATCCGCATCTTGGGGATGATGCTGGCAATGCTGGGGATGCTGTCCAGTACCGTGCGAGCCCTGCAGCTTCGGTCCCAGACCCCCTTTCACCCCGTGAGCCAACACCATCCTACCCTAAACCAAACCACCCTGCAACCCCAACCCTAAGCCTAAATCAACCCAAAACCCAAACCCACCCGAAACCCACCGCAAACCAACCCTGAACCAACCCTGAACCAACCCTAAACCAACCCACCAAGCCTAAACCAACTCCGAACCACACCCAACCACCCAACCACCCAACCACCCAACCACCCAACCACCCAACCACCCAACCACCCCACCACCCCACCACCCCACCACCCCACCCCCCCCACACACCAACCACCACCCACCCCACCACCACACCCCCACAGGGGGGGGGGGTTGGGGGGGGGAGGGGGGAGGGGGTCCACGGCCTGGAACATATATATATATATATATATACGACCGCAGAAACAACCCGTGGAATCCTGCTTTCAGGAGGGAGTGGAACTTGTCCCAGAGGCAATGGAACAAGTTGAGAGGAAGCGGCCGGGGATGTGGCTCAAAAATGGTACCCCAAAATGGCACCTTGGTATGTGGAAAGAAAGACACAAGCCTGCGTAACCCCAGCTGCGTTATGTTGCGCCACACCCAAGTGACAGCACCTGGGTTGTTAAGTTCATTTGCTTAAGCCCCCCCGTCCCATAGTGGAATCAAATCCTTTTAAAACTAACAGGTGAACATAAAAGAGATTCTTTTCAGCAAGTGGAAGCTACATTTCAGCAAATAAGCAATAAATACATATATCATATATAATATATGTAAAACATATATGTACTAGGTCTTCCAGTCCTAGACGGGCACGCATGGGGGGGACCGAGTATTTGGAGCGATCCCTGCCCCAACCTTTCACCAAGAATGACTCCACTTGCGGTCAATCAACATCTGGGCTTGTCGGTGGATGCATGGGCCTTGTAAACAAATACAAACAGTTGTGAGTCTTTGCTGAAAAAAGTGCCACTCAACAGAATTGTGAATCCGTAACGACACAGACACTCTCTCTCTCGCTCCGTCTTTTTTTCTCGCGGAACACACCACTGCAAGTACGGCGATGGCACAACACAAATATAAAAGATAATTCTAAGTGACACAAGTCAGTTTGCTCCAGCGGTCTTACGAACAAAACCGCAAAATTAGGACTTTACCGGTCCGACAGTCAAACCCAGTATTTTGCCAGCCACGCATCTCCCAACTCTGCTGCCAGATTGAAGAAACTTGCGCAGGAGCAAAGGCTTGAACAATGAAATGGAAATAGCAGCTCCATCATTCTGCCCCGCTCTTTGCACGCAACCTCTTTTCAGGAAAGAGGGCCATGTTCTGCGGAATTGGATTCATGAACGCAGACGTAACAACGGGGAGCCATCATCCCTTAATTGGCAATGCAACAACCTCCCGGTCTCCTGCGCGTCCAGAGTGTTCGCAACCTGAGTTGCTGCAACACCCGTAGCTGTTGCAATCTCACGTTTGGGATGGCCGGATTGAGAACTCGAACCAATTGCGTTGAAAGTTCTGCTCCGTTCTAGGTAGCTCATGGTGAAAACGTAAAACCTTCCAAGCTCTGACGCTAAGCAACACCTGTTGAGTGGCGCTTTCTGCTCACAAATAGCCGCATTTCTGAACTGATCTTTGACGTTTTCTGAACTGCTGAGGCTTGGGGCCTGACCTTAATTAAGCAGGCGCGCAGCGCCAGAACCTTGACCAGCATCCTGACCAGCGCCGTGACAGGCGCCACACGCTGCGACTGACTGCCGTTGTCGGCTTTCGCGGCTCCGCGTTCGCGGGAGATCGCCGCACGCTCCATGTCCCGCTCCCCCTCGTCCGGAGGCGCGCGCGCAAAACGCAAACATACATCAGTTCGCGCGAGCGATGGCGTTTTCAGCGGTTGCGGCCTGCCGGTTGCGCGGTTGGCCCTAGCAGCTACTACTTAAAATGAGAGCGATCTCTCTTTGCGATCTCCCTGGCATAGAAACTGAAACCTGGGCCAGGACAGAGCAAAAATCCAAACTGCAGCTGAGCCCTCTGGTCTCAGCCCCTGGCACGGCACCCCGGCACTCAAAAACTTGGGCGACATGGCCAGAAGTGGGTGGCGCGGCAAGCGGTCGCAAACTTGCCCACAGGCTTGTCAGTTCGCTCGCTCAGGGACGCACAGTGTGAGGTTGCATTCTTCCTGCTCTCACTGATCTTGGCAGGCTTAGGCTTAGTTGGATGGAAGGGTCCCAGGCGGCTCCATGAACAAAACCTCCACTGCATGGCTGTGGTCTGTCACTGCATTTTGTCTGCGCTAGCTGAAGAGGCAACCAGGTCGCTGGTCACTGGCTGTTGGAAACACTCGTGTTTTGTGGGCCCATCATAGGTTCAAGCACACCTAACATCACATGTCAAGCGAGGCAGGCGTGCCAGGACTTCTGCCTGCCTAGGCGCGAAGGCCAGGGCAAAACAGCCGAACCAGGCCGAGGCAATTTCGAGCTCAACCCTGCGGAAGTCTGTTCCCAATTTGAAGCAAGCCAAAGTGGATCCTGACCCACAAAAGTCAGCAATGCGCAACAGGATGCCTTTAACACCCAGCGAGTCTGGGCAAGGCGTGGCCGAGCCCCTTTCTCTGACTTCGGCCGTGGCAGGGGTTGATGCAGCGCCCGAGGCCTGGCGAATCGGCCGAATCGACTCAAGTATCAATCGGTTGTGTCCCAGATTGCCATTGCCTGGTAAGGCGACGTCGCCTGGATCCTGGCCATTCGATCCTGCGAGCTCTGAAGGATCCAGAGGCACGAAATTCCCTCAAATGCAAGCCAATCCCTTCAAAAGCCTTGGCTATCTGAACTTCTGCAATCCCATTTGCGGGAAGGAGCCTGAGTGAGGGGTTACTTGCGCTTTCGCTTGTGACATTGCTGATGCGGGACTCCAGTGTTTTAGAGCGATTTTGTCGAGAAAAGTTCATGTGGTTGAAACAGATTCCTATCTTGAAATGTCAGTGATTCCAAGCGGAAATGTAGCTGAGTCTAAGTGTATCCTATTTTGACACGCACCTGTACTTGTCCAAGTGGCAATCTGAGTAAAAGTTTGCTGCGATCGCGGCTGCGTCGGACATGAAGCGCACAGAATGGCGTTGTCAAGCAAACCGAGAAACTCGGATGGCACGACAATGAACTTGGGCGTCACCTCCAGGGCAAACGATCAACGTGGTTTGACAAAGTGTCAGCACAAGTGCGAACCATCCACATCCATCCATCCGTTCCCCATCCATCCACATCCATCCATCCACTCACTCCATCCATCCACCCATCCCACCCCTCAGCCAATCTATCCATCCATCCAGCATGGCGGCCGTGCGAGGCCGGCGTGCAAAGCATGAGGGACATTGACACAATCAAAGCTCGCTGCAAAGGTCATCTGGTAAAGCCAGAAACCTGACCTCGAGTTGCGAAAACGCGAGGATTCACTTTTCTGCCTTTGTCGCATTTTGGTGTTTTCGTGTCGGCCTTTCTCGGCATTGCTTCAGTCTTGGTATGCAGATGCGGGGGGATGCAAGCAAACGCGCGCAAGCCAACAGATACACAAATAGGGGCTACAGCTTGTCAATGGCAAGTGCGACAAGCTGCAAAGTGGATCTCGGATGTGCTTCTCTGTCTGTGTGCGCGCGGGTGTGCATTTTTAAGTCTACAGAGAAACCATCCTCTGCGAGCATTTTGATAAACCCTGGCAAATACGACCTTTTTCGGCATCTGTCCTCTCGCTGTTGCTTCACCCGCTCCCGCATTTCATTTGCGGCGCGCATCCGCTGCCGCGTCTCATAGAAGCCCCGCGGCACCTTCGGGGCCCCCTGAATATTGGTCAAACTGGTCTTGCGGCCTTCTTTTCAACAACCAGGCCACAAATGGCACCAGCTCGCCAAAGTGAAAGCTTGAGACCTGTGGAAACGCTTTGCCTAAACAATGCTCGTTTCAGCCACGTGACTGGCATTTCCCGCACATCGAGAAAGACTTCTGCCAAAATGCCAGCTGCGCATCTGGGACATTTGGCTGCCGAAGCACCCTGAGAATTCATCCTGATTGCACTCGATCGAAAATAAACAAGGGCATTGAACTACACGCAACAACCTTTCAATAAAACGTTCAAACACTCCCAAATCGTAGCCCGCTGCACTCTCACCAGGCCTGCGCTGACGCCTCGTGCACTTTGTGGTAACTGGGCAGGGCGGGCAATTTTGACTGTGATCCTTCAGAATATGGCTTGTTTCTGCATGATTTCCCTTGCAAGGCCGAACGCAACAGAATTCCAATTAATCCTAGAGATCCTTGCTCTATTCACGCCTCACGCAAACCTGGGATGTCAAATGTTGGGCGTCTACCTCCAGCTCTGAGCCCCGCCTCTTGACACTCTTGCAGAGGTTTGGCTGAAAGGTGCATCCGCGAACCTGCCACGCGTGAGGCACGCGCAGGGCTACTGGTTTGCTTGCAAAACAGTTGGAACGCTCCATGCGTGTTTCTGAGTGTTGCGCACACGCCTCCGCAGTCGTCTTGGCTTTCTCACCCTCGAGCACCTGCAACTGCCACGTGACCAGACTGCTCTTAGAGCAGATGGTGCGCAAGTTCCGTTTTGCGGAAGCCTGGCCCCTCTCTCGCCTTGGCCTGGCGCCTCTCCTTGTCTGCCAGGCCGCGCGAGTAGAGGACCTTGCAGCCCAGGGCAAATGTGAGGCGGGGTCTCGCTCCAAGGCCTGCACGTTTCGTGGAATGTCAGGCCTCTGTGCGGGTGCTGCCCGCCGGTGTGAGGATCTCCACATCGTCCTTCCTGCACAAAGATTCACGAAGGAACTCCGAGGCGAACGCCTGAAGAATAACATGTAGCCGAGATGCGCGAGATATGGTCCGTCTTTGAGGGAATGCTAAAGGGAATCCAACGATTTCAGCTAGTCTTGAGGTTCAGGATGACGCCTTGGGAAGGGAGCGAATCCTGCGCGACTTGAGTACATTCTTGGGGCTTTCACAGTCTGCTCAGTTTGCGCAAACGTGTTCGGAAACGTGTTCACCTGCTCCTGCTAAACCAAAGCTCCCGATCCATAATATCTTTGTGTCACTCACATCAAGAGTGACACCCAGGCGCCGCCTCACCCTCTCGCTTCTCAAAATCACACAGCACCCCCGTCGCCTGTTGGCTGGCCTGTTATTGGCTCTCACGCGGGTCACTTTCTGGAGTCTAGCCAAGCGCAGTGAACAAACAGCACATAAGCCGCGTGCTTCGATCCTTTTTGGCTATGAGCCCAAGGCGGCAACCCCTGAAACCTGTGGAAAATTAGGCATCTGGAGGAAATCCACCGAAGAATCCGGAGCCGGACGAGCATCTTGACGTGCGATGATTTAGGAACGTGGCCACTTGAAAGCCTGAAGATGATTCCCAAGGACCAGGATCTTGACTCTGCCACAACAAAAATCCTTCAGCTCACCATTAAGGATCTTGACTATGCCTTCGCGGCTTGGGGAGTGGATCTTCTGTGTCTGCGCTGCTTCTCTCGCCTCTCGGGATGTCCCCAACCGCTAGTGTGTTCCGGCGAAAACAATTTTGGGGGATTCTCACGAGACTCACGCGGGGCAAGGGACCACAGCGGGCCTGCTTGTGGTTCCAACTGGACACGCGCGGAGCCCCAAAATTATCTTCATCGGCTGGGAACGAGCTTGGGTTTTGACAAGGGTGGACCACGAATTATTTTCACCGGCTGGAAGGTGAATTTGAGGTCATCCCTCAAAAGGCCGCCCCCAGCACGCGGCAAACCAGTTGCAGAGAAGGAATGCAGAACAGTCCCCATAATTGTTTTGGGCTAACCGAAATAGCATTTGGGGGCCTGTTTCCGAGCTCGTTTTGGGGGTTCTCACGAGACTCCCGCAGGGCATGGCTCTTGCAAAAGAAAAAATCCTGAAAAGTAAACGCCCCAGAAGCTGTGACAGTTCTGTACTTCAGAAGCTGCCAAAGCCTAATTGACAATGCGCAAGAGGATCCGAATTGCAAAATCCTACAGATTTCACACACAGCAATTCGGGCCCATGCAAACAGATGTTCAAACACCAACTGCGCTCCCTTACGCTCGCCCTTGCGTTTCCAGACCACAGCGTGGCAACACTTTGCGCTTCCACTAGGTTTCCTGTAGACTAAGCCTAGTTCCGCCGGTTTAGATCAACTCCCATGCGATGAAGAGCTGTGGCCAGAGATAAAGACTTCTGGGAGGCGGCGTTCAACTCACGAGGATTCACATGTTCCCGCGGACCATGGACTACGAACCGGCGGCGCAAGACCAAGAGCCGAAGCGGGTCAAGTTGGAGGAGAAGATCCGGGCGACAGAGCCAAGTGCGGAGGAGGCGGCGCTGCGGGCTACGTCCTTGGGAGGCCGCGGCGCGAAGGCGCGACGGGCTGGCCGATCCAAGAGGAATCCCACTGGGACGCCGCGCAGCTGCGGCTCAAGCACACGGCAGACGCGGCCGGGCAGAGGGACTTTCTCGCCACGCGCTGGGACGATCGCCACGCGCTGGGACGAAGTGCCACCAGGACGCGCTTCTCGCAACGACGGGGCCCGCTCTTACCCCCAAGTTCTCGGACGCGTTCCAGAAGGAGTGGCTGGCGGACGAGGCCTCGGTCTTCAGGCTCGCGACAGCACGTGGCCAACATGTCCGACACTTCCGCCGAGAAGAAGCCTGCGAGCCGATCAAGGTGGAGTAGGCTTTGGGTGAAAGTGGAAGATCGGGATGAAAATGGAGGTCAAGAGGACGATGACGGGCGAGACCGAACCACATCAAGCGACGAGAGGAAAGAGGTTTAATCCTGTGGATATGATCAAGTGTGAACTCGGTTCGACGCACGTTGAAGGGGCAGTGCGCCTCACCAAAGCAGCAGCCAAGCGCAAGAGCAGTTGGTGGTGCTCGCACAACTGATTGCAACTCTGCCACGGCTGAAAAAAGCAGGCCGCGCGCGTAGATCCCTTAGCCCCAAAACATGCCCCCTTTACAGTTGTTGGCCTTAGGTGTGTTTCAAGAAGCAAGTGTCTGCTCTGGTGGATCACCTTTGAATATGACAGGGAATAATGGCACTGTAAAGCAGAGTGCAGCAAGGGTCCGAAGTCTCTGATCATGAGGCGCGAAGGTAAGATGGCTGACGCCACCAAGTCGCGGGTGTGTCAAGAGGATTGCAATGTTTCAAAAGCCTGTGGGGACTTCAAGAATAGATCCTACACCGCGGCTGAATTGCTACAATTCACTCAGCAATCGTTTTACCTCTGCCACGCGCCTGACAGTAGCAATGCAGTTGGGACGGAAAGTGCAGCTGCTGACCTGCCAGAGCGTCGCAAGCAAACCAAGTTTAGAACGAGAATAGACACGTGGCATCTCGCTGGCACTCGTTCCTACATCTTGCCATCTTTGCCCCTCCACTCCGCCAAAGACCATGGCCCAAAGTTGAACATACAGGGTTGCACAATGTTTCTTCACACGACATCTCCCCTTTTTGACGGGAAAAGGCAGGCCAAGCCTTCCTTGGTTTCATCCCGGGTCGGCCTTTCCCTCTATCAAATCGAAAACCCTTGCCCTGCAATCCCCTTTCACCTTCCGCAAGATCTGTTTGGGTCCCTGTAGGTTCGGTGGCGCAAAAAACTGAAACGTGTCCTCCCACTTGGCTCCGCCTCTTCATGGAGCCGCTGCTTCCGCATGGACTCCTTCCGCGCCTGGCAGGCTACCCGTCCACATCTCGCTTCGTCCTGTTTACCCACCGCCACACCGCTCTTTGGGGCACTGCTGTAAGCCTGATGGGCAACCAGGATGTAAGGATCTGGAGCAATGGAATGATGCGGATGTTTGTTCTACTTCGGAGAAATAAACAAGAGAAGCCACTCGCAAGATGTGAGCGTGATTTGGGGAACACTGAGTTTCGACCGTTGCTCGCAAAGAGTTCGGAAACAAAAGAAGACAGAAAGAGAAGCAAAGGAAAAATAAAGCAAGCAAAGATGCAAAGAATAGAAACAAGGGGAAGAAGAAGAGAAAGATAATCAGGGAAGGAAAACAAAAGAGAACAGTAGTTTTTCATTTTCTGAAACTTCCGCCCACGGGCTCCGCCGGCTCTACTGGCAACTCCTAGCGTCCATCGGGGGGGGTTTGCCGCACTTTCAACAGTCGCACTTGTTCCTCTTTGCGTATCATGTGTGTTTTACCAGCATTTTAGCGGCAAATTTCCTTTCCGTGGACGCAACATGTCGCGTGTTCGAGGGGGGGGTGGAGGGGGGGGGGTTTTCGGCCTGAACTCAGTACCGTTTTTAAGCGGGTGACGAATATTTATACTTTGGTGGATCAATGCTTTCACGGGGTGTTTTATGTGCTCAGGTCAACATCCTCGCCATGGAGCGTGCGTTCCTCGGCTCCGGAGCTTCAGCTGCGGGGCCCGGTCCAGGTAGAGTCTGAGGTTGGGTCGCAGGCAGGCTCTCTGTCCGCTGAAATCGCTGAAGTCAGCGAACCGGAGCAAGCTGCTTCCTCGGCGCTAGATCCCCCGCAGCCCGCTGCCGCAGGCGGCTTGCCGCTGCTGCGCATGGACATGCCTGCAAGAGCTGCAGTAGTTGCTCGCAACCTGGGAGCGGAGGACTTGCCTGTGCTCTTGGCACTAGCGCCCCTAGCTCACCGGGCAGCTCCTTTTGTGTTCCCAGCTACGCAGTTCAGCAACGACCGGAAGAAGTTGGACTACTACCAGGAAACAATAGCTCTTGCGGGTTTTTCTTCCCAAGCTCGGACTACTGCTGGGCTGGAGAGGCGATCATTTGATGCCCTGGTACACTTGGCTTGGCAGGAGCGCGACTTTCTCCTGCAACAAGGCTTCGCGGAGAAAGGGGCCCTCTGGCAACGTGCTATACAAGCAAGCATGGCTTGGAGGATTAACATTCCCTTTTTTCGACAGCTCGCAGCAGATCGACTTTCTCAGCGGCTGGAAGAGGCTGCGCAGCGGCGGCAAGCTCATAGACAACAGACCTTGCCTGCCCTGCTTGGCCAAATGATGCTTTACGCAGGGGAGCCCAAGGATGAACTTGAAGAGTTGACGCAGCTCATGGCGGGAATCACAGACAATTCCTCCGTGTGGCTGTCAGCAGAAGACTTGCTTCCGTCTTTGCCATACGGCAAGGATCGACTCATGGAGCATGTGCACAGCTTGGTCTCCATCAGCGTTGTAGAAATGCAGGAATTTGACGGGGTGTTTCGACTCACGGAGTCATGGTGCGAACTCAACCACGACTAAGAGCCTCGGTGTTGGCCATGGAAAAGGTGTTGTTGCTTGTCATCATTAGCATGGCACTCGTGAATCGCAGCCTTTTTCTTGTCAATGGCTTCCTTAGGAACTGGTTGACTCATGCCATGGCCCAGGCTGAAGGGCTCCTTGAGGAAGAAGCCTGCAGCTGCGCAGCCTGAGGATAGATACCCTTCTGGTCGCAAGAGACTACCACCAAGCAGAAGTATAGCCACCGGCAGCGGCGTCAACAGAGAGCACCACAAGCTTGGGATTGTGTTTCTAACCGTGGGGTACTGCGCCAGTTGTCCCAGGCTGATTTTGCAGACCTGTGCACTTGGAGCGAGCGCACTTGCGCACAATACTTGCAGAAACGTGGAGTCTTTGGCACGAAAGAGCACCGCAAATGCTGGGTGCGCCGTTCCAAGATGGCACCAACATCGGATCCTGACGTTCTGCGCTGCACATGGAGAAGCCCTGGCTCGCAGCCAAGACTCCACAATCCCAAGTACAGTCACACCCCGTTTGGGGGTAGGCTGCGGGGTGGCCACCCTATGGACCACGCTGGCTTCTTGCGTTGCTGCTATGTGGCTGCCTTGCGAACACCGCAAGACTCTGCCTGGCACTTGTGATAGGCCGGACCCAGGAGTTCACGGATGCGACGTTCAAGATCATACGGATCGTCGCTGCCCACCAATATTTGGTGTGCAGCCAAGCTGCCGTGTTCAAACCCGGGGTGGTCGAAGTTGACGGCACACGCTGCTACGGCAAAAAGAAGACATTGGACAAGCGCAAGCTGAAGGCATCTGCCAAACAGAAGATGCTGAAGGCCCAGAAGGACAAAGTGAAGCAGTTCAAGAAGACAAAACGCACACCGCTCAAGAAGCCTGCTGGCACGGCCATTCATGCAGGCCGCTTTTTGATGGTGAAGCATAGGCAGTCCTCGAGCTCTGCAGTGTTGCCGCTACCGCGGCGCTCCACGGCGGCCGCAGCTCCGGGACCACCAGAAACAACGAGTGAGGTGGTGCCGCTCTTGCAAGACAGACTGTCTGCAAAGCACCACTTGATCGGAAGCGACAGCAGCAAGGGCTTGGCCGGGGCATGGAAGCAGCTGGGACTAACTTCTGTGAGGGCCAAGCACTCGCAAAGCGAATACACACCTGTGAAGAAGGTCTCCTTCAAGCACGTGCCTAAAATATTGCTCAAGTCCTTGATGAAGAAAGGTGGCGAGTACAAGAAACCCATGATGATTCCAGCGGGGTCTTCTGCTGGTAAGATCATAGGGGGAGATCAGGCTTGCGAGTCGCTGGCTTCGACGATGAAACGGAGCATGAGAAGGATGAACTTGACCGGTAGGCTGGATGCATCACTTGACATGGAACATATAAATCCGATGGCAGCCGTGTTCTTTTCCACCACACCTAGCCTCGAATCAATAGTGGAAGCCTTTGCCAACTACAGGCAACGGCATGAAGATGCTGTCCCGCCTGCAGAAATGTACACAAACTTGAAGTGGATGAGCGACATGTGAAAACAAGATGTTGCTGCTCTTGCTGTCGGTTGCAACGCAGAGATGCATTGGACTCGCGGCAAACCCCCCCGATGGACCCAACTCCTAGCTTAAGTGTGTACGACACTTAGCAGACTTATTTCGGAAAATAGATTGGCAAGACTGCATTACGTGCTGGAAGTCTAGGACAACAAAACTAGACGAAGCACTCGGAGTTTAAACATTGGCAAAACAAAACTAAGTACTGCAAAACTAGGATTTAATTCTGGCAATACTGGACTCAGTATTGAAAACCTGAGATGAATTATTGGCATTTTTCTGATATTGGTGCAACATCTTGACAATACTAAGATTAATGCTGGCGATACCCACGTAGTACGGGGAATCTAAGGATAAATTTTGCCAACACTAAACTTGCCAAGACTTGAAAAAACCTAGCAATGTGCGGTTCAGCGTTGGCAGCACTAGGTTATGTGGCGGGAGTCTTGGGTTAAGTTTTAACAAACTAAAATAAGCACTGTCAGTCTAGGGTTAAGCGTTTTGCGCAACTAATTGAGCACCGCCTTGGCAACACGACTCCAATCAGCGACGGCGCGCTCAACATGCAGAAAGGGCAGCAGAACACACAGCTCTAGCACACGGAACGCCGCAAGGCGCGTGCATTCCTCAACTGCCCGATCCAACATTCCTTGCTGCGCCACAACAAACAAGTTTTGATTTCCTTGTCCAAGGAAGGTACGCAAACTTTTCCATTGTTCTTCATCGTTTAGAGCAAGTTGGCGGAGAGCCAGACAAAGCGACTGGTTTCCTCTTTATCCTTGGGAGTATCTCCCTCAATACACTTCGGGGACTATCAAGGCCCACTGCCTTTTCATCACCACAGGATCCGGCCCCCCGCCCTAGCGGCGGAAGGCAAATGGCGCGCAGCAAGCCAACTGCTTTGCCTTCGCCTGGGTCTGCCGCCACAACAACAACTCCTCGTGAGTGGCGGTGCCGGATTCACCTCAAGGCCGACGCGCGGAGTGTCAAACATTTCTGAAGGAAGAGGTTCGAACTATGCACGATGTTTAGCCCCACACATTTGGACAGGCCCCTCGGCGCAATAAATCACGCAAGGACATGAACTTCAACTGGAAAATTAACCGCTGGGGCTCAAAGCAAGGAACATGACGAACTGGTAGTGGGTGGGCAAAGCGACAAGGGCCACGCCGGGCAGCAGAAATCGACACTTGAAGATACTGGTATGGCGATGACAGCTCACCTCGGGAACGTCGACTAGCAGCTACCGTTCTTTTGCCTGCTAAGCTTGAGCGGGCATGGCAGCATATGGTGCTTCTAAATTAGTCCCGAAACGGCATTCTTCAACCAACTAAACCCCGGTTATCCCGAAAGCGTGTGTGACAAAGGTGATGCACCAAAAAAATCTAAGCGACCCATTTCTCGCATGCAGCAGTCACGTTGCAGCAGTGCCTCATGATTCATGTGCAATGCTAAGCGGCGAACGTGCAACTGCGCAATGAAGCCCATGCATTCAACACATGCGCGCGCGCCGCTGTACAATCGCTTCGCCCTCGCTTGACACATGCAAAATGCTAGAAAGAAATGTACTTTTTTTTTCTTTCTCTTTACCTCTCTTTTTCTTTTTTCTCTCTCTCTCTGTCTCTTTCTTTTTCTCTGTCTCTTTCTCTTTGTTTCTCTTTCTCCTTCTCTTTTTCTCTTCATTTTTATCCTTCCCTTTCTCTTTTGCGATTGTGCTGCGGGAGCTGCGGGAGCACTTCGCATACTACTTTTGTACGTAAAAGTTGTGAATTTCGAGCTGGACTTGCGGGAGTGCGCGTCGTGTATTGCGATTTTGCAGTCGGAGCTCTGGGAACGCGCTTCGTGAACTACTTTTGCATTCTAAACTTGCAAGCTTTCAGCCGGAGCTGCGGGAATGTACTTCACGGACTACTTTTGTACTTAGAAGTTGCGAATTTTGAGCCGGAGCTGCAGGGGTGCGCTTTGCGTACTACTTTTGTACGTGAAAGGTGCAATTGTGCAGCGCGAGCTGCAGGAATGCGCTTCGTGTACTACTCTTGTACTCAAAAGCTGCTCGCGAATGGTCTTTGATAGTTGTCTCGTGGTTTGCGCGCCTGCCTTCGCAATCGCGGCGTCGCGTGTTCGATTCCCCCCTTGGTCCGCGCCAGCTCCGGCTCAAGAAAAGCAATTCTCAAGTACCAAAGTATAGTGCGGAAACTGTGCTCCCGCAGCTCTGGCTGGAAAATGGAAGCTTGCAAATTCGCACTGCGTTACAGCGAGAGCGATTCGACACGCGCAATCCCTGCAGAGGGTTCGTCGGCGAAGTTGGAAATTTGAATGGCGCCACAGCGAGGGCGATTCGACACGCACAATCTCCGCAGAGGGTTCGCCGGCGAAGTTGCAAATTCGCAAGGCGCCACAGCGAGAGCGATTCGTCGCGCAAAATCTCCGAAGAGGGTTCGTCGGCGAGCTTTGAAATTCGCACGGCGCCACAGCGAGAGCGCTCCGACACGCACGACCCCCGCAGAGGGTTCATCCCCCCGGCGCCCGCCAGACCCGCCCCCGGCTAAGAAAGAAGATAGAATTACAGGCCGCAAGCTTCGGCTGCGTGAGGCTGCGTAGGTTGCGTGAGTCAGGCTGCGTAAGCTAGGCTACGTGTGTCAGGCTGCGTAAGTCAGGCTGCGAAAATCAGGCTAAATGAGTCAGGCCGCGTAGGTCAGGCTGCATAAGTCAGTTTGAGTAAGTCACGCTGCGTAGGCTAGGCTGCGGAAGTCGGGCTGTGTCAGTCACGCTGCGTAAGTCAGCTGTGTAGCAGGCAACCGCCTTTTTTAATCAACCCTTCGCGATGCTTTCGGGAAAAAACCTGCTGCGCATCGTTCGCGCGGGCTCATCGCCGTGCGCTTTTAACTTCTAAAACCTCTTCAGCACACTTGCGTGCCTCGCTGATTCGCAAGCAAAACTTTCGCAAAACAACACATGACTTTCGGCGAAACCATAGCGACTTTCGCAACTTCATCACGAACCTTATCTCAACCAACACCAACGGTTGCCGAGCACTACACTCTTTACAAGGAGTTTAGAACGGTGCGGTGTGCGCTGAGTGGCACCTGCTGCTCTTTTAGGCCCTCGTTGGCTGCAATGCTGCAATGTCACAGCGTCACCGTGCTGATGTAGGCGCATAGCCATTGCAGCCACCTGGAGCTTGCAGCCCTTCCGCCGTGAGGCTAGCCCGTTGATGTCGTCGAGTCAGTTCCACTGTCAGGGCTGACGCGAAAGGAGTCTATCCCGAAAATGTATTGGGGGCAGACTTGTGTGGGCTATCTTCTAGCCTCATGCTTCGGGGACTTGCTGCCCAAGTGCCCGGGCCCTTCTGCTTCTCCAGCAGCTTTTCTGCAAGCTTCTTGCTGTGAGAGTCGATGCTTGGGGTCACCTGACACCCGACTACTCCACGCTCATCGTGGGTATCCATAGCTACTGGCGCCAAATACAAACAGGATACCCCGAATTTGGGTGTTTGTGCAGCTTTAAGTAATCCCCTTCCGAGAAAACATGGCGTGGCCAAAAGTACTGTCTCTCATCAAAAAAGAAATTTGGAAGCAGCAAGGCCGGACAGCTGATGAAATCACAGGGCTCCAAAGTCTTCAGGCCTCAGGATCAATTCGCACCGAGGCTGCCACTAGCAAGTCAGACTTCTTCTCAGGCTTTGCCTGGACTGTGCATCTGGGAAAAACAAGAGCACCGCCCCCTTGTCTGCCAGCCTGCTGCGCCTGGTAATGCATCCGGTGCAGCAGCAATGACTGAAACCTGTGTGCAGGCACTTTTCCGAGAGCTGTCCTCCCTCTGTGGCTGACTTTCTCTACTTCAGCCCACCGGTTTTTTGTGAACATGTTGTAAACCGCTTCTGGAGGCCGCGCTCGCAGCGGAGCCGCACGGGGTCGAAGCGCAACAGCAGCTCAATGACCCGACTCCTGCCTGCGGCAAAACGAAGGCGTTTAACCGCTGGGAAAGTCTAACACGCGGGGAAAAAACTCACAACCCTTCCTTTCCTGCGCCACAATCAGCCACTGCTCATGCCCAAAAGGAGGCGCTGGAAACAAAGTTGGCGACTGGCTAGGGGCTGCCAAGGCAGCCACTTGAGGGTGTCTGGTGGCTGTCACGAACAAGTCCAATGATGCCACAGTGCAGCAGACACAATCGACAAAGTCGAGAACTCAAGACAGTTGACAAAATCCTGAAACTGATAGAGGCAGCCAAGCCCCTCTCATGAGGGCGTTGCAGCCCACGCGCGAGGAACCTGAAATGGAAACAAGTTTAATCCGAGCGCCAAGACGATCCAGCCCGCGCTCTTTAAGAGTCGGAGAGATGGGTTAAAGCCAGCATAGTCAAGGAGTGGATGTGTGGCCTGAAACAGGTTGAAACCACAGAGTGCGATCACGAAATGAGCCAGGCTGCACCTGAAAGCGGTTGGAGGTGGGAAGCACCGAAGAAGGGAAAATCTTTCAGATCCCGAGCAGAACGGTGTTTGCGGGTGATTTCATGCTTAGCGCTGCGCCCAAGCAGAAGCTTTCCTGCCGAGTATCACACGCAGTGCAAGACCGCAGCACGGACTGGTGAACCACGACACCGAGCCCATGTCGGGTTGGCTTGGGCAGCAAACCAATCGCCAATGTCAGGCTCGCGAGCATCGCAAGCGGAAGACAGGTTGCGGACCCAAGTGAGCTGGCTAAAAGATTAAAACTGCAGCAACTCTATAGGCCTGCGCACGGTCGCTATCATGTTCGTTGGTGAGCCTTGCTGACACCCAACTCGAAGAGCGCGAATTGGCCGAAGCGAGCCAGGCGCCAGCGCGGCTCACGTTGCATGGCTTCGTGACTGGCTTCTACCGCCGCCTCGGAGAGTCTCTTCATGAAGATCGTCGCTTGAGGTCGCACTGCGCGCGCGCCTGCCAAAGGGTGAGCGGCCGTTCAAGATCGTTTAACGCGTCGGCTCAGCACTGCGCTCACGCCTGCCAAGCGGTAGTAGCACGCTCGCTCGAGCGCACTTGTTCGGAACGCCTGCCAAACGGTAAGCGCGCTCGCTTGCGCCGGCCCGCCGCTCGTGCCTGCGAAATTGCCAGCGCGCCGCTCTGCGAACACGCCCGCCACATCGTAAGCGCACCTGCTCAAGTTCGCCCTCTCAGCGCTGCGCGCCCGCCTGCCGAACGGCAAGAGCACACGCTCACGCGCGCACGCTCGCGCGGCTGCTACAATAGTGGAAGCACTCGCTCGAGCGCGCACGCTTGCCATCATGACTCCAGGGCTCGGCGAGAAGTCGTCAAGATCTGACTTCAGAATCTTTATTGTGTCCAGGGCGTTGCGTGTGAGGCCACCGCCATAAGGAGAGGAGAGAAGTGCGCCAGATCATCAGCACCCTCTTGCATTGCTGTTTCAACTGGGCCCTCATCTTCTTTGGACTGGCGCTGTTGAAACTTGACGTCTTGGCCTGCTGACTCAGGCCAAGGGGTCATGGTGCGACGCCTCTTGAGCCAACTTGGCCCCAACCTATCTCACACGTGGAGCTCCTGCCCTGTAAACAAACTCTGACGCAATTGGTCGGGCATCACGTTCAGCGCAGGCATCATAGCTCCTTGTGAAACCGTACGCGGTATGGTTGTCCGAATCCTTCATCAATCGCTGTCCGAATCCTTCATCAATCGCTGCCATTCCCATCAACCTCACATGAGCGACTTGCGAAACCTCTTGTGTAGTGAAAGGACATCCTGTAGAGGCTATCTTTTTGTTGTAACCCTATCGCAGGGCTTTGTGCGTTTTACCGTTTCAGAAAACACGAAGTACACTTTGCCAGCTTAAGCGCGAAGTAAAGGAAGTACACTTGGGCAGCCCGGCTCGAAAGTCGCAACATTTCAGTACAAGTGTAATAAAGGAAGGGCACTTTGGCAGCAAGTCGCAACTCTTAAGTACAAGTGTAGTAAGGACAGCGCGCGCAACTTTTCAGCCAAGGTGTAGTGAAGGACTTACGCTCTGGCAGCTCCAGCTCGAAAGTCCACTTTGGCAGCTCCGCCTCGGTAAGCAACTTTGCAGCACAAAGTGTAGCAAAGGAAGCAAACTTTGGCAGCTCTGGCTCGGAAGTCGCAACTTGTCAGAAAGCGTGTAGTACAGAAAGCACACTTTGGCAGCTCCGGCTCGAAAGCCGCAACTCTTCAGCACAGGTGTAGTAAAGTAAATACATTTTGGCAGCTCCGCTCAGAAGTCGCAAGTTTTCATTACAAGTGTAAAAAAGGAAGTACACTTGGGCAGCTCCGGCTCAGCTCTGGCTCGAAAGTTGCAAGTTGCAACTCTTCAGCGCCATGTAGAAAAGGAGACACACTGTGGTTGGAAGTCATGTTCAGTCCTTCACATATTACTCTTCCAGAGGTTTTGCTAGACGCCCACATGGGTGTCACAAAATCAACCTAATTTCCATGTTACGCTCCAAGCAAGTCGGCCGGTCCCCTCCGCCTCCATCAGAGGACCGGCCTGCACAAAACCAGAACAAGGCCCCTGACATGTTCCCATTGTTTTACAGCGCAGCAGCTTGGCAGCTTGATGCTGCAGCCTTGGGGTCTCAAAAAGATACAGCCACGCGTCGCAGTATATGGTGAAGCCGACTATTGTCTGCAAAACTCAACAGACCCCGCAGTGCGGCAAGCAACGCGCATGCAAAAACATAGCAACCTGTCAAACGCAGCATTGCACAAAAGTGATTGCCAAGCGCCCCAAGATCTTCAATAGTTTTTACCAGACCTGACGTCCTGCAGAGACTGCGCCTGGGAAGTGGGCTTGCGGCGGGCGCAATGATTCCCAAAAGGTCAGCCGTTTCACCCACACGGAAGACATCTCTCGCCTGCCGCCGCTGTTCCTGCGGCCTGCAAAGTGAGAACAAACGCTGGAGATCGCATAGGCGTAAAACAAGCGATCGCCTGATGGTGGGGTCACCACCACCAGCACCCCTCCCCTCCCCCCCAACCACCTCCCGCTTGCCCCTGCGGCATGTTGGCTAACAACTAGGTTGAGACTGTGACTGTTACCTGTTTTTCGCTCTCTTCAGTACGGCCGCCAAAGCCCTACATCCAGCAGCTGATGAGCGACAAGAAAGCAAGTGTAGCTCGCTGTCCGACCCCGAGAAGTTCTATTAAACGCCCAGGGTTTTGCATTTCCAGGCGAATATAAATATTATTATATTAAACGCCCAGGGTTTTGCATTTCCAGGCGAGCGTAGGCAAGCGTTGGCGAGCGTTGGAGCGTGTTTCGGCAATTCGCGCATTTTTCCTTGTGAGCCCACTCCGGAAAATAAACGCTCGCAGCGCAACTCAACCTGAATTGGCTGGCTTCCTGTTGAAAGAGACAGCGCGCAATGACTGTCAGTTTAGCACGTTGCCGGACTCAAGATTCAGTTGAAAGGTGTGGCGCATGTCCTGGGCCCGCCGTTCAGCCGTCCTGCTCGGGGCCCTCCTCGTGGATAGACTGCAGCAGGCTGGCGCCTGCGCGAGTGGGCGCTGGCAAGGCCTCATCTGTACAAAGGTTCAAGTATCAAGCGAAGTTGCCCTGCGCTCACAGTGCGAAACACGCGTGGAAACGAGAAGGGTTGCTGTGGGCACTTCCTGCAACCACTAATCTTGGGTTAGGATGGCGGTCTGAGGGAGGTCAACCTGGAGCGATGCTGGTGGCGCACACCCGTGGTACTTGCACTGCTTTCATGTTGCAGGTGTCGAAACGCTGATGGCGACGTGTCCCCAACAACTGCTATTTTTAAAGCTCGCGCAGGTCGCTTTGTCAGGGCGTGGTAGAATTGCTCAAGTCAGCTTTCCCCTTCCGAGCTCCGAGAATCCGAGATCCGTGGTTGGTGGCAAACTCCTGGAATCCAGGGGTAGGCGCAGCAAATCGAGCCCTGGCAGCCTGAAAAAGAGACAGCGAAAAAGGCAAAGAGTAGGCAACTGTCATCCTTCCACGCATCTCAGAACTGCCTATGAAAGAGCCATTGATCGCCAGGAAGACGCCGAACATGACGACCTCCGCGACCGTCGTCCAGCACATGTTGTTGCTTCATCTCGGCCCAACTTGCGTTTTTAAGGGTTGGCCTGTCAAACCTTTCCAAGCGAAAGCAAGAAAATCTAGTTCGCACTTCTGTTTTAAACTTACACGCGTCTGATCATCAAGTTCTTGGGGCAGTAGTCAAAAGAACAATTGCCAAGGCCGCCCAAGCAGGACCCAAAAGGGTCGGCTCGGAAGAAGTTACGCGCAAAAACAGTGAGGAGAGATATGGCAACATGGAACTGTGATCACGCACTGGCAGTCATTTCAACAGCCTGCGCAGGCCCAAGCCCCTGCGCCAAGTTCCCAAAATTTAAGGGTGCGACGGCAGGCTGGGCCGGGTACGTGCCACGAGGAGTGCGTGGAGTCTTGGCGCCAGTCCAAGGCGCGTTGCGCCAACACTGGGCTTTCTGCAACGCGCCAGGCCTGCAAAAGGCCAGCGGCGCCATTTGAGGCAAGAAAAAAACCGGCGCTCACGCTCTTATCCTGCACTCAAATATGTGGAACTCCAAGCGGCGGTCTTCCTAGGAGTTGTGTGCTCTAGTTGGTTTGAGCCTTACAAGTCGCCACTGTCAAACTCATAAGCATGCAGCATGGGCAAGCCAGCAAACAAGAAA